TTCAGTGTTCCAATTTGGTTTCCAGATAGATCGAGAAACCAAATTCGTGGTCCGAAAAGCTCAATCAACTCCGAAGCGTTTGCAATGTTACAATGAGCAGCAGAAAAGTAAATTAAATTTTTGAAAACCGTTGTGGGCGATGAAAAATTAGTCTTCTCTAAGTTATTGAAAGAAATATCCAGTTTCAATAAATTTTTGAGCGGTTCGAACGGCCGAAGATTGTCGAATGAAAGATTCGTATTTTTTAAATGCAATTCGTATACATCGACATTTTCGAATGTGGACGCATTCAATTGGCCCACGTAATTTCCACTTAAGCGAAGTCTTGACATTTCTGATCTAAAGTGATGGATTAGCTCGGGTGCATTCTGCAGTTGATTTTCATCTACTCTTAAAAGGAACGATGATGGAAATTTCGCCAGCAGTAACACACTACAAATTTCTTTCAAGTTATTCCCAGAAATATCGAGTTTTTCAAGCAGTTCCGGGCTTTTAATAGAGCTTAAATCGAATTCCATCGATTGCGCTCCATTTATAGTCAAAAAGAAAAGATTGGTGAACGGTTCAAGTGATGTAGAAGTTAGTTTTTCCGTGAAATTTCCAATTGAATGTCCGAGAATGAAAACGCAACTTCTATTCACAACACATATAAGTGAAACAAAAATAAAAAATTTATTGAAATGAAACAACACAATCGAATTTTTTCAAAGTGTAACAACAAAAAAGATTTTCTTAAAGTGTAACATCGGTATGTAGTAAGTGTAATAACATAACGATGTTACACTTTAAAAAAATCTTTTTTGTTGTTACACTTTGAAAAAAATTCGATTGTGTTGTTTCATTTCAATAAATTTTTTATTTTTGTTTCACTTATATGTGTTGTGATAAGAAGTTGCGTTTTCATTCTCGGACATTCAATTAAAAACAATTGTTGAAGTGACGATGTCAAACAACGAAGCATTTCGTTTGGGTTTTCAATGTGGTTGCCAATGAATTTGAATGAGATGATATTGTCAAAGCTTCCTTCGTGGCAATGGAACTCTGTAAAGTTTCCATCGGATGACGACCAAATCCCTTCCGCTTGTTTGTTTAAAATAACACGAATTGGTTTCCCAATGTTTTCTTCTATTTCAAAGAAAGTTACATATTTCCATGAAAAATGCAACGGAACACCTCTCTTCAGCAACTGCAGGAATTTCTCATCGAAATATTGGTATCGATTATTCTCCAATCGTAACATTTTAAAATTGTTCGCCTTTGCAAATATGTCATCATGATCGATTCTTTGCAGTTTATTGTCTGTTAAATCAACATATTCCAAATGCGGATGTTTTATTATATTGTACATAATGATGTTGTTATGCGATAAATCAATCCTGACTATCGAAGACATAGGCAAACTCCAAATATTCATTAGATTATTATATGAGAAATCAACATCCATCACATGGGGCATTTTTGTCCAAATATCGCTTGGATCTTCAGTTAGCTGATTATGCGAGGCGTTGATTGCTCGCAAATGATCGAGTGTTACATCGAATGGAGTCAATGATTGAAGATTGGAGCAACAAATGTCCAATGAACGTATATTTTTAAAGTCACCGATGATTTGTGCAATTTTGTCCTTGTCACAGCCACCGATCTTCAATCGTATCACTTTCGATTTATCATAATGACCAATTGAGTACAGAAACGTTGTTGAACAATTCACAGGCAGAGTTTCGTTGAAATTTTCACAGTAAAACTCGACCGATTCCATTGCGTCGGTGAGGTGAACGCATTGGAAATCATTTGAATCACAAAATTTTATTAAAAACAACAGAAAAGCGATCGAAAACTTCATTTTGTAAAATATTCTCTTTAGGACAGCGCAATAACCAATTAATTTTGCATGTTGCTGAATTGCTTTCGTTTTTCAAACTGAGCGTTTCCAAACACACAAGCGATATCATGTAAGCAAATAGTGACGGACTTGTTTTGATAAATTAGAGGTCAAACTTGAATTCGCAAGCACATGGAAGTTAGATAATTAAACAAGAGCGTTTGTTATCAAATGCTACTTTTATACTAGCTGCTTCCGCTTGAAAACACGATAACTCCTTGGACTTAGCCACAAAATGATTTCAGATAAGGTTTTCAGTTTGGATCATTTTACATTTTTTGCATCAAGAGTAAATGATGATAAAGAATATTTTGTGTCGATGAATTTTTCTTTATTAAACAGAATATACTAACAACATATTTATAAGAAAGAACGAGCCAAATTGCTTCTATTTTCAGAAGCAAAATTTACTTCAAAACCATTTCGATATTAAAATTCCCAAAAAAACACAATTTTTTTTATAAGCATACACTTGAGCAATCGCCATGTTTCTGTTAGAAGGGACTGTTGACAAATTTTAGATTCGTCCAATTACGCTTGAGTTGTACATGGTATTTGATTCTTTGAAACAGACAATTCATAGAGATACGGAATCTCCAATAGGCTTTGTATATCCCTCAATTCATTTCCAGCAAAGTAGAGCGACTTAATCTTAATTGGGGCTAAATTCACGTTCTTCAAGTTGTTGTAAGACAAATCGAGTGTATTCAGCAGACGTGTGCAAGGGGGGTATTCCGGTTTGACCCCCCTCTAGGATTCCAAAATGTGGACCCCCCAGCGATTTGGAAAATTTTACACTAGATATAATCGATTTTCAAAAGTGAGGACCTTTTTTTTAGGTCTTCACTTGTTTTTCGACACCCATTGGCAAAATTTTAGACCCCCATTGTGGAATTTTGACTGTTTTACACTAGATAGAATCGATTTCCAGCAGAAATTACAGAAATTAGCGCCATCTGTCATTTCAAGAGGTAAAATATATATAGTATTTGATAAAATGTTCGAAAATATGTCATCGCCCACCAATGGATTGGGCAAAAAAAAATACTATATGAGAATCGAAATTTTTTTTTTAACTTTTTTGTCGATTTTTGCCTGTTTCGGATCGTCTACATGGGAAGTTTGTATGAAAACCTCGGAGCGCCGGTGTTTTACCCGTATTGTTATACACATCAACAAAGCAGTCTGCTTCACCGTAGAAAAGTAAAGCGCAGTAACGAACAAGAACGTTCAAGTTTCGGCAACGTTGCATTATAGAGAATATGAATGAACGTAATGAGAAATGTAACGAGAAATTACATTCATTCATAATCACTAGTGAAGCCACGTTGCCAAAACACTACGTTCTTGTTTCCTTACTGCGCACTTCTTTTCTACGGTGAAGCAGACTGCTTTGTTGATGTGTATAAAAATGAGGGTAAAACACCGGCGCTCCGAGGTTTTCATACAAACTTCCCATGTGGACGATCGGAAACAGACAAAAATCAAAAAAAAGTTAAATTTTTTTTTTCGATTCTCATATAGTATTTTTTTGCCCAATTCATTGGTGTTATCGCCACATCGAAATTCGGGCTCCTTATCACTTTATTTGCATCATGCGATAAATGCGAGTGACGTCATCAATAGCTCGGGAATCAATTGAAATGAAACACACGAAAAAATATTCGAGTAACGAAACAATGTGATACAGATCCATTCATATGAAACAATGCGAGAGGATTCGTTCATAACGACACTGCAGACAAAAAATCTATCAAAACGGAACACCGCAAAGCGAAATACTTAAAACGGCACATGCTATGTTTCATTCTTACGGATTTCTTTTCCGTGTTCCATTTTAATGGATTGCTTTATTTTTGTTTCGTATCTGTGTATTGAGGGACGAAAGTCTCATTTTCATTTCAACCGCATCATATATACCAGTGCTGTCCAACATGGTGGCCACTGGGCCACATTTGGCCACCGAGACAATTTCAAGTGGCCACGAGAAGATTTGATTTCCATGATATATCATATTTAATTTTCAATGATTTAACATGAATTTGATAAACTGAACCGAACAAAGAGCAGCAATAGAAATAAATTCGCTACTGTAAAATTCTCAATAACGCTCTATTTAACATAAACATTTCATAAAAACGGTGCTGTTTTTTCGTTTGTAGCTTCATTTCAATTTTTCATCAAAAGTGTGTAATAAGCAATAATTTTGTATGCAAGCATATTTGTTTTGATTGGATTCGGTCGATGAATCTTGTCGAGACTTGTTTATGTAACAATGCTGTCGAGTTCGTCATTCGCTTTCATTCAAACCAATTCAGTGAAGAATTCGAGCTCGGCTACGACACAGACATTTTTTTTCAGTATCTCAATATTTTGATTAAAGCATTCGATTCACGATTTTCGGATTTAAAAAAATTTCATTTGGCATTCAAGTTTTTGAAAAATCCATTTCTTTTCAATCAAAATGAAATTTCAAAATTTGTCCGATCTTTTCAATACAAAGAAAACTCACTTGGAGTTTGATATTTCGCTAATAAATGAAGAAACTCATTTGCCAAATGAAATGAGTGATGCATTGTGGAAGCGATTGCTATTAAATTGTAACTTTTTGGTGCTCAAAGATATTTTACCAAGACAAATACAAACTCCGCAGTGCAGATCTTAGGAAAATTTAGAATCGGAAATTCGTTGCGAACTTTGTGAATCCAAGCCCAATTTAACTGAATTGACCGAAAATAAAAGTTGTCGACGATCTCATTAATGATTGAATAAAGAAACATCAAATGTTTATCGACATTTTTGGGTTTTTTCTCATTGATTGAAAAAGTGGCCACCGGCTTGATCTCAGGGCCACTATTTTGGCCACAGCAGAAAACAAGTTGGACAGCACTGATATATACAATATATATATTTAGATACTATAGATAGGCCATACCTTGGATATTTCCGTTCTATGAATCTGTACAAAAAATATTAATGTGCCTTTTCCGCACAGAATAAATTCAAAAATGAGACATCGATTTTTAAACAAGCTCAAGCTGTTGATGAAATTTTATTTAAAAATCAATGATTCCATTGAAGAATACAATTCATTTCAAGTTCAGTATTCTTTCTAAAACTATAGCCATTTTGAAATGAAAGTTCCGACAAAACCCAAGTTGTTTATTAGCCTAACCACACTTGAGCAATCGCTGTGTCTTTGTTCGGAAGGATTATCGACAAATTTCAGATCCGGCCAAGTGAGCGTGAGTTCTGCCAATGCGGTGCAAGGAATTTGGTTTTTTGATACTGACATCTTCCACAATTTCGGAAAGTTCAATGTTGTAAATGGTTCAACGTCTGTTAACTGATTGTTATCCAAGTAAAGAATGCCCAAATAAGTTGCTGGTGAAGAAACGCTTACACGCTGAATCGTGTTGTAAGAAAAGTCCGCTTCTTGGAGGTAGTTTGAGTGTCGAAAAATGCCAAAGTCAATTTCGACTAAGTTTGTTCTGCTCAAATTGAGAGTTTGCAAATTGATAAAGTCTTTAAATATGGTGGCATTCAATGTTTTCAAGTCATTTACTGATAAATCGAGCGATGCAATTGGTAGACCAAGAAGTTTAATCAATTCTGAAGCGTTTGTGATGTTACAATGAGCAGCAGAAAAGTGGACTAAATCTTTGAAAGCCGTCGATGGCACTGAAAAATTAACATTTTCCAAATTGTTAAAAGAAATATCTAGTTTCCGCAATCTTTCGAGTGGTTCAAACGGCTTCAGATCGTCGATTGAAAGATTCGTATTTTTTAAATACAACTCGCCTACATCGACGTTTTCGAATGTGATCGCGTCCAGTTTTCCAACGTGATTTCCATTCAAATATAACCGAGAATCTTGTCCTCTGATGTATTGGATTAGGTCAGGTGTGTTTTTCAATTGATTTCCAGCAACATTGAAGTAGTAAATCATCGGTAGTTGCTTCAACAACGATACATTCCGAATTTCCTTCAAGTTGTTGTTCGAAATATCGAGTGTGTAGATACGGTTGGCGTTTTTAATGGAGCTCAAGTCGAATTCCATCGATTTCGCGCCATTCAGAGTCAAAAAGTAAAGATTGATAAACGGTTCAAGTGACGTGGAGCTTAACTTTTCAGTGAATTCACCGATTAAAGTCAATCTTCCAAGTGACGGTGTCAGACAACGAAGCAAATCGCTTGGATTTTCGATGTGGTTGTCGATGATGCTGAATATGAATATGCTGTCAAAGCTTCCTTCACTGCAATGGAATTCGGTGTGATTTCCATCGGTTGATGGCCAAATTCCTTCTTCGTTGTTTAAAACAACACGAATTGGTTTCCCAATGTTTTTCTGTATTTCAAAATAGATGATATTTTGCCATGAAAAATGCATTTCAACATCTCTTTCCAGCAACTGTAGAAACTTTCCATCGAAATATTCATATTGATTATCCTCCAATCGTAGCTTTTTTAAATTTTTCGCCTTTGAAAATATATCCTGATGAAAAATTCTCTTTAGTTGATTGTGACTCAAGTCAATGAATTCCAAATTCGGAAGATATGTGGAATTGTAGCTGTCAATGTACTGCATATTGTTGTGTGATAAATCTATTTTGATTATTGATTGAGGTAAGCTCTGGACCTTGAAATTATTGTATGAAAAATCGACGTCCATAACGCGAGGCATTTTTGTCCAAATATCGACTGGATCTTCAGTTAGCTGATTATGCGAGGCGTTGAATGCTCGCAAATGCTCGAGTGTTACATCGAATAAAGTCAATGATCGAAGATTGGAGCAGGAAATGTCCAATGAACGTATATTTTTAAAATCAGCAATGATTTGTGCAATTTTGTCGTTGTCACAGCCACCGATCTTCAATCGTGCTACTTTCGATTGATCCAAATAGCCAATGGAGTACAGATACGTGGTTGAACAATTTGCGGGCAAAGTTCCGTTGAAATTTTCACAATAAAACGCGACCGATTCCATTGTGTCAGTGAGTTGAACACATTGGAAATCATTTGAATCACAAAAATTAACTAAAAACAACACCAGAATAATCGTGAGCTTCATTTTTTTTATTGTGCTTGTGCCTTTTATGGAAGTGAGCATAAAACGTCCGACTTAACTTCGTCATTCGAACTGAGTGTTTCAGTATTAATGAACGCTTTATGTAAGTGAAGAATTTCATGAGACTTTTCTATAAATTTGAGGTCAAACGAATCGCCAATTTGACTCTACAGCGGATGTTGTCGAATGTGGCTTATCTGGCTCACATCCGCTCGCAGATTTAATAAGATTGAAAAATAGTAGAGCGAAAAAAAAACATTTTCAATTACAAGCATATTCAATCAAACGTGTTCTTCTCGTGACAAAAGTGGGTTGTTTACCGAAACTTGTGTATATATTTGAGAATAAGAGGCAAATCTTGGCAAAGTACGTAGAAACAGGAACTTGAAACCGGTATTTGCGTGTAACAGATTTAAGTACTGTTTTGGCGTTGGCTTTTCTATGTTTTGCCTTTTATTCGCAAAATTTTATTCAAACTGATAGCAAATGTGTCAACATTTGATTACAACCATATGTTTCCTATAACGTGTTGGATCTTTGCATATATTTTGTTTTTCAATGAATTGCAGCTATAGACCATTGAACTTGGTCATAAAAGATGCACCGTTTTGTATACAATATTAATGTGTCGTTGACATTTAATTTGAACAGAGCTTAAATTTTGGCTGGATACATCCGATTGCAGAATTTTCATTCAGATCAGAATAAATAATTCGTATCGATTTTTGCTAACATTGAATAAATTTCGTCATTAATAACGCCATAAACATTTTTCTCCCAACTGCATGCTAATTTAGCAAACGGTTTTATCTCGCTTGAATATAAACTTTAAATTCTTGATCATATCATTCTACCAGAACGAAATTTTAAATTAGTTGAATTCATTTTGAAAAGAATATTCGTGGTCCAAGCGAAATAAAACTTGTTGTCCCAGTCATCGATGCTTCAGTTGTTGACGGATAGTGATCGTGATCACAGTTTTAGTTTGTAAATTGTACTGTTTGGTTAGTTCTTGTGACTTTACTTCTTTTAAGAACGATTGCCACCAAATCGGTGGCATCAATCTGTCGAATCTGCTTTCTTCGAGTGTAGAAAACGTGTGAATTCAATATAAATATTCATTTTTTTGTAAAAAATTAGATTTAACCCTCCGTTTGGCACATGGGTCTGGCCAGACTTTTTTCGTTTTGGATTTTAATTTTAGCATGGTTCGGATTGAGCTAGAGCCTTCAAACTTCTTGATTTTTCCTGGATATTCTTTTTATGCATTTTGGAATAAAAATTAAGGATCCGTGTCATAGAAGGATACATATAAGGACATCAAAACGAATATACTTCGGTTTGGTACATGTGGTCTGGCCAGACCCCTATGTATTGATAACAGATTTTACACGTACTGATAACATATAATGAATTAGTGTATGGAGAGAAATATTTTGGATGATTTTCTCAATATTTTGGACGAATTTCGAATAATTTTGGACGAAATTCTAATTTCAGAGTTAGAGACGAAAACAGATTTGGACGTTTTTATAATTTTTTGTTCAAAACCGGCCAAAAAAAATGAAAAAATCGACCAAAAATTCTTCCATTTTTGTAATATTTTTTGGACGATTTTATAAAAATTTTGGACGGTTTTTTCATTTTTTTGGACGAAATTTCAATTATCCGACTCCCTAGTCCCTACCTATTGAAACGATATCGGAATGGTTTTGCTCTGTTTGAGTGAAGCAGCCGAGTAGATCATATCACTCTTCCACAACATATTTACATAAGCTTGTATTGAAATCAAAACGTGGTCCAAATGAAATGAAACCTGTTGAATGTGTCATCGATGCTCTAGTTGTTAGCGATCAACGATCGTCATCACAGTTTGTGTTGTTCAATTAAAAACGATTAAAAGTTAATAATTGTAATAAATATAATTCATCCGGAAGGTGCAAATTACGAATAATTTTTGTGTAAATTTATTTTCTTGGAGAAATTAGGTTCAAAAAAGAAACACAAAATGAGACAATTTGTGATGCTGCCACTGAGTGTTTTCGTATTTGCTTTCCTGATAGCAGGATTTGCTGGTTTACCTACAGGTAATTCTAAGTATTTCGATTTTTTTCTCCTAATTTTGATTACACTGTTTAAAATTTACGCCTGAATATAGACGGAATTCCGGCTAGTATACACTGACGCTCTCGGTTGATATTCCTCCCAGTAAGTTGTATTCCAGCCGTTTTTTCGCCTAGTATTTCCGACGAATACTACATGGGCTGAAAAGTCTTTGGCCTGATACAGAAATAACGAAAATACTGCCAAATCCACATTAGTTTTAGATAAAACCATCCTTAACTAGAACTCAGTCAAAATTTGAGCCAAATCGGATGATCAGTTTGCGAGTTACAGCGTCTTGTGACGGTTTCGCGCTTACATTTCAAAGACATAATTATTAGAAAAATCAAATCCATATTGGAGTTACTTTACGGTATCCCTTAAGCATTGAAAATAACCTGAATGTGTGAAGATATTTAATTCAGACGTCGTTTTACGAGCCATTTTGTTGACAAACCTCAAAAATGCTCAAAATTGGTGGTTTTAAGAGATATCAACAAAATTATCCACGATATGATATCGGATGACCCAAAACTTTTATTGTATTGGGTCAATTCGAAAGTTTCCGCCGTTGACATTTAAATGTCGCCACTTGTAACTGAGCGTAGCTTGACAAGTGAATCCAATTGCATTTTGTAGATGTGACATTTAGCAATCTAACTCAGAGCAGAAAGATTCATTTTTCGTTCTGCGTCATTGTTTTTGAATCGATTGAAAATGGATCGTGATAAGGTGTTTTTTCGAGGGGCCCTTCTTTTCTTATTTGATTCGAAGAAAACTGCCGCTGAAGCTCATCGAATGCTGTCAGATACTTATGGCGAGCAAGCTCCATCGGAACGAAGCTGCAGAGAATGGTTTCATCGATTCAAAAGTGGTGATTTTGACTTGAAAGACAAAGAACGTTCAGGTCGGCCAGAAGCGATTGAAGATGTCGATTTGCAAGCATTATTGGATGAAGACCCAACCCAAACGCAAAAAGAACTTGCATTGCAGTTAAACGTCGGCCAAACAACCATTTTCAGACATTTGCACGCCATGGGAAAGATTCGGAAGCTGGGAAAATGCGTTCCACATCAACTGTCTGAAGAGCAACTTCAAGCACGAATCGCAATATGCACAAAACATCTTGCAGAGCACAAAAGAAACAGTTTTTTGTATCGGATTGTTACCGGCGATGAAAAGTGGGTTCATTACGAAAACCCCAAGCGTAAAGTAGCGTATGTTGATCCCGGCCAACCGGCGCCATCCCAGCCAAAACGAGATATTCATTGCGATAAGGTTATGCTGTGCATCTGGTGGGATATGAAAGGAGTCGTGTATTATGAGCTACTAAAACCAGATCAAACGATTAATAAAGAACGCTATCTACGCTAATTGAATGATTTGGCTCATGCATTGGATGAAAAACGGCCATTAATAGCTCGAAAACACCACAATGTTTTGTTCCACGATGACAACGCTAAGCCACATCGTGCAACAATCGTTAAAAATGAGGTAGAGCAGCTCGGTTGGGATCGGCTTGATCAGCCCGCGTACTCTCCAGACCTTGCTCCTTGCGACTACTATCTATTTCGATCGATGCAGATTGCCCTGTCTGAAGTACGCTTTCAAAATGAGGAAGAAGTGCGAAAATGGGTTGATGACTACATAACCTCAAAAGACGAGGACTTCTTCAAGCGAGGAATCCACAAGCTGCCAGAAAGATGGCGGGAAGTCATAGCTAACGATGGCGAATACATTGGTTAATGTACATTTTCAATTTATTTTGCAATAAATGTATTTTTAGACAAAAAAAACGGCGGAAACTTTCGAATTGACCCAATATTAAACTTCCAATACCATGGGCCTACTATCTTAGGCCATAGATTCCAGTTTGCACAGAAATTCTTGTATGAAAAATTCAATCGAAAAAATCGTACCGCATTTTCGATAATTGAGCAAAAATCCCAACTTTGTTCAGATTTGCGGCCCTCTTTGGAGCCATAAAAGGGAAATCATTGCATGTTTTTGCTTTGATACATGGGAATTAATGTCCTTTCTATTCAATCAAATATATAGGAGTCAAGAATATAATCAAAATTGTGCTTAAAAATGGCTTGAAACGAAAAGGGCCGCAAATGATCACTTTGACGGCTTCTGGCGGTTTCTGACGCTGTTACCTGATATGTAAATAATATATTCATCATTTAATGTCTGGAAAAGTTAAAAATGATGTTAGAAGAATATCATCTATAATTTTTACGCCGAAACAATTGATACATTCGGAGTAAATGGTCGATATCTGACGTAGAGATGAATGCTTTCCTTCACGAGATTTCTTGAACTCACAAATCTATTGAAGTGATGGCAAAATTTTACGTTTTATGCTACAACTTGCTTAGCCGTCGACTAAATTTTCTAGATTTAGTCCTCCCCAATCCATTTAAGGTGTTCAAACTATATATTTTAGCTTTGGGTTGCGGGAGTTCAGCATTATTCGAAAGCCATCTGCGAAAATTTGGCCATTTTTGAGGCCTTTACATGGTATGGGTACAACTCGCAAACTGATCATCCGATTTGGCTCAAATTTTGACTGAGTTCTAGTTAAGGATGGTTTTATCTAAAACTAATGTGGATTTGGCAGTATTTTCGTTATTTCTGTATCAGGCCAAAGACTTTTCAGCCCATGTAGTATACGCCTGAAAGTAGATTTTTAGTTGAAGTTTTGGGCGAAATATAGACTGAGACCGTATACCAGCCGAAATTCCGTCTAAAGTCGGGCGTAAATTTTAAACTGTGTATATCTTGATTTATTCATGTGATCTCGATGTGACTGT